TATATATATATATATATATATATATATAGTTGCTTTTTCATAGTTGCATATCTTGATATCAAAATGATTAATTAGAGTGTTTTTCAACATTAAAACAACATTTTCCGACAGATTTTTGAGGTGTGTCTGTAGTTCTACAATTTAACCTTTTATATATATATATATACATGTACCTATTATTCCATATAACATAGTAAATGTAGGGACATGTTTTGCCTGTCCAATTTATTTAATAAACTTGTCACCCTAGATACCAGTATACACCGATGCTCTTTTTTGCGAAGAGGTAACTGTATTAAATAGGTATTTAAAGTAATACATTTACAAATTCCAACATAGAATCTACTATGTTGAAAATTGGAAGAGTCTTTCCAAAAAAGAAAAATACCGACTCTTGCAAATGACTAAGCAACTAAAGTAAAGAGACAAAATTACAAATGATTTTATACCTAAAGGTCGATTGAGCACCTGGGATATGTTGAAAGCCCCTTGTCCAGCCAAGCCATCAGTGGTGCTCATTGAATATGACAAAAATGAGATGTTTAGCACACCTGTAATAAAAAATAGGCTGATAGACATTCTATTGGTCCAGTTGGTGGTGTTTTGTGAATCCCCTCCCATGATTAAAGAGGTGACCAGCTTCTATTGAATAGACCTTGTAGAAGGGCACAAGCATCGACCATTGGTGAGGTGGCAACACCTAAAACCTCAAGAAGGTTAGGATTGGGGATCCTTGGCTGTCCCTAAATATTCCTCGCACACCTGCCCTACCTAGGTTACCAAATGAGGACCCATCGAAATTTTAATTTGACAGTGCCATGTTGCAGTGGTTGCCAGCAAGAGGACCTAGATTTAAAATGTCTTACCCATAGTTAGCAGAATTTTCCACCCCAAGTGGCGATACCGCTTCAGAATCTCGCTTTGGCAACTTTGATAAATGAATCTTCATAGAATCCGGTTCTTTAAATTTAGGAAACACACTTCCACCTTTTAGGAATATCAAATTGAGTTATTTGGAATCCAGATTCCAAAACATCAAATCCAAAGGTTCATGGGTGTACCAACCGTGATTCGATCGACATGTAATTTCATTTCAACTGTTTTAAGAATATTAATCTGAATTATTTGGAATCCACACATGAATTCTCCAGTGGATCATACTAACATGCTTTAACAAGTCTTGGGTTCAAATAAACTTCATTATTCCCTAGTAGGAGAATGATGGCAAAAGTATTTATGGAATGCTTGAAATTGTTTAAACTATTTGAAGCATTCTGTGAATATATTCATTAAAATTTATTATTAATTAATAAATAGATTATACTTTCTTCATTCAACGAGGATGGGTGTCTAGAAACTCTACTTAATATCAGGATGGATGTCCAGAAACTAATTTATTATTAATTAATAAATAGATTATACTTTCTTTATTCAACGAGGATGGGTGTCTAGAAACTCAAAATCATTCCTAAGGTCCCAAAGCCAAAATAAATGTCTTATAATTTTAAATTCGTTATTAATACATCAATTAATAAATAGATTGTACTTTCTTTATTCAACGACTCTAGTTAAGGGCACTCGATGGCCTTAATTCGAATACTTATAGGGAACTGTGATTAGATTACGTGCACTGAATACATCGATTCCAATACCAGGGGAACCCTTGTTAAGAGCAGTTGGGGATCTTGATTCAAAATATTAGAGGAATCCTGACTAAGCATACTCAATACACTGATTCCAATATTAAGGGATTATCGGTTAAGGGTATGCTTGAACCTCAAACCTTTTGCCTTACGAAACTCATTCCTTGATAATTATTTGCATGGTTCCAAGTAGTTGGAAGCGCAATTCCCAATAGGTAGGAATCTTGATTCCTGAAATATGCATTGTATGGACAGCGTTTCCTACCAGAGGAAGCTTCTAGTAGGTCATGATTCCCCATTTCTAATTCCTAAAGGCACTCCTGCTTCCACAGTTATGGTCTTGCCAGATCTGGCAATAATCTTCCATTTAGTATGAAGTCCAAGGTCATGAAATTTGTGAACCTTTAAGCAATCTTTCCCTTTCAATCATTGTTTATATTCTCCATAACATTTAGGATGGATCAACCCTTTCCTACGGCGATCCTCCTATTACACTGTAGCCCTATATTCTATAGCAAATCAAGAATTGATGTCCTCCAAAGTATTAGACCAGCCTGTGGTAGTGGAGGCGAGAAATAGGCCCTGAAGAGTTGTTAAATGGTTCCCAGTACACCCCATTCTGCCTCAAAATATATGTAAATATTGGCTTCAAATGTACCCTGCTGCAGGACCATGGAAGAAAAGATACCCCATTATCTCTTCGTTGTCTCAGCAAAGAATACATTTAGAGAAGCTGTCTTTATTGTTGGTCCACTGTGAGGATCTTCTTATGTTTGGCATGCCATCCAGACAACTGGATTTTGATAAGTGCAGGAGTAAACAAGGCCCTATTAACCACCATGTTGGTCGGGGGTTTTGTTGCTAAGGATATGGTAGAAAGATGAGACATTGATGAGAACCGATAGGGTAGGGCTCCAAATGATTCTCCCTACCAAACCCAGGCACAGTAAACCCATTTGTAGACATTGATCCTCATGTCGATATCTATGTAACACTGCATATAAGTTGTTGAAAGTTGTTGACCAAAGGCCTTTTGATATTTTTCTCCGAAAATGTGATGGGGGTTCCATTTGTAATCATTGGCATTCAACTTTTTTACCAGCTTCCATTTCTTCACTATGCCAGAGACTTCCTTTCCCAACTGTGTTTCTCTGAGGTTTCCAGAGATTCCTCTTTTCTAGATGGTTTGTTCAACAAACCACGATTTGCTGTCCTCAGTGGTTATGGCCCCCTTAATCACCTAGATCTTGAGCAACAACGTCCAGGATATCATTTTATTGGACTATTAGAAGTCTTAATTGGCTATGAATAAGATGATGTTATTCAAGATCTAAGAGGGGGGGTTTCGATTTTGGAACATGGGTCTTCAAGCGTGTAGATTTGAAGTTGGCTCTGAGTCTGAAAGCCAATAGTAAAAGCACTTGGAGGGTGGTCTGTTGGGGTTGTGTTGCAGCGCTTTTTCAAGAAATGAGTGGCAGGTTGCAATGGGAAGGTGCTATTTGATGTTCTTCCCAAAGAGCCTGAAGTTGGAATGCTAGCTCTAGGGTATGAAAGAAGATGGATGAGGTGGGGATTCAGGTGTATAGGCCTGGTTTTCCATCTGCAGTGTGGAGTGGTTTCTGGGAGGTATTCTTGTCCCTAAGAGAAACCATGCATGGGAATGATTGAGGCTTGAAGACTTGGAGGATAAGGTATCTTCTGATGAAAGGGTTTCATGAGGTAATAGATTTGGGAGGAAAGATGATAAGATTGTTACCGTAAGGGTATGGCCCCTTGCCTCTCTCTGCTCTGTCAAGTCTCTTTCTTCTCTCATATATCATTCAGACGGTGGTATGCATTAATGTTATTAAATATATGAACCATCAGCATTTCTTTTTTTTAGCCACATCTCCAATCTAAGTATCCACTTAATCATTCCTTTCATTATTATTATTATAGTTATGGTTTTTATCTTTTTCTTTTATATGCATAAATTAGAAAAGTTGTCAACCGAATAAAATTAAGGTTTGTTGGCCTATTATTGTGTTCCTACAAAAACAGTGTTTCAAAAAGCGGACAACCCAACGCCTAGGTGGATCTAGGGGCCTAGGCGCATTGCCCAGGCCTAGGCGCCCAAACAAGTGGTGGTTCCTGGGCGCCGGCCTAAGAGCCTAGGAAACCGCCTAGGTAGCTGCCCAGCGCCCAGACCTGGGCGGCCGCCCAAGTACAGCACCCTGCCTAGAGGCAAAAAAAAGGTTTCGGTGGGGGCTATTTTTGTCCATTTTTTTATACTAAGGGATCAAATATGGGGGTTTTAGGTTCATTTGAAACCGAAAATTTATTAGAGCCCATTTTAGAGAGAGAAAGCCCCAAAAAACTGGTTTTTGGTGATTTCTTTAGGATCGAAGGGTTTCTCAAAGTTATGAGAAATTGATCAAAACATTACCTAATGATATTAAATTTAATTTTTGATGTTTTATAAATTTATTGGGGGGTTGTGTATTGTGGTCTTGTGGACAGTGGATTTGTAGTTCCACTGGTTATGCTTATGGAGTGTGTGCTAATGTGTAGTATACTTTGAATTCTGATGTGCCCTAAATACCTAATTCTTATATTTTATACAATATATAATGTAGATTCCTTTTTGGATTCAACTGGGCCACCCAGGTTCTAAGTGCCCGCCTAGGAGCTAAGCGGCCTGGACCCCCTAAGCTGCTACCTGCCTAACGCTTTTTGAAACTATGCACAAAAACAACAATTTTCATACTTTTAGGATTGTCAAAACCATTACAATTACTATTCACGTTTCACAATAAGGGAAAGCCTAGCATTAGCACTTCACCTTCCATGTCCTAAGGCCTCCACGGCGCACCAATTGAGGAAGCTCTACAGAGCAATCAAGAATTTCAACAGATCCACCACATCTTCGAAGAATCTACAAAGTGACATGATAAGGTTGAGGATAAACATTTAGCTCACAAAAAAAAACACAGTTAATGTAATGATTGGACCAAGTGAAACTGCAATGAGGACAATGCAACCATGGACCCAGTAAGAGCCCAAATGTTAGACAAACTAGAAACAGAAGCATGCAAACATAGTGCTTCAAATTTAAGCATGACATTCAAAAGACAAACATAGAAATTTTGGAAAGTATACAGATGTATTACACACAGTTCAATAGGCCCAACCAAATTATCAAAATAACTCGCAAAACTAAAATAGTGGGGAAGACTTCGGTTAAAAAATAATAATAATAATAATGGGGAAGACCTGTTGTATAATGTATACATACATATATACCCACACACGCACACATACTTTTCGGCACGTTGTAGAGTTATATTTAAAATAATGAACATGATAAGGAAGTTCGAAATCTCTAGTAAAAATCATTGCAATCACCAATACACTAAGTATTCACAAAGAAAGACATGAAAATCAAATGACACTAGAGAAGTGATGCAAAGAAAAGTTAGAGCTGATTTGACTGCTACCAGGCAAATAAAATTTGCAATGATAAGCTACAGTGCTCCTTACCGACAAATTTTTCACAGCTTCAACTCAGTGAACCAATACTAGGGGCAATAACTTTCCAATGTACCAAATAGAGACAATGAAACAACATTAGAGTTCACTTTTAAAAAAGGAAAAATTACAAAAATACCCCTACCTTGAATTTTCTACCCATTAAACCCCCCCCCCCCCCCCCCCCCTGGGGCAATACCTTTTTAATTCACAACAAAAACCATTAAATTGTTTTCCTTTGCAGTGACCCCCAGTTGAATTTTTTTGTCATTTTAGATGAAAATGCCCCTCTAATCTAACACAAAAATTTAAGTTCAAGGTTGGTTCCACCTTGGGAAAAGTTCTTGGAGACAAGTTCGATGCCACCCTCGAAGGGTCGAATTGGCCTTAAACTTGAATTTTTTTGTATCTAACTGAGATGGGTATTTTCATTTAAAAATAACCTAAAAATTTCATCTGGGGAAAAAGATAAAAATAACAAGGTTAATTTTGGAAAATTACAATTTTTTAGGAAACAATGGATTTGAGAAAAAGAATCAGAAATGATACATTGTTTTGATAAAAAATAGTGAAGTTTTTGCTCGATTTTGGAAAATTACAATGTTTTAGCAATCGATGGTCAATCTTTAACAGCATTTGATCCCTTAGCCTATTTTTGTGTGCTTGATCCAACTATAAGCTTGATTTCACGAGGAACTACAAAGATATTAGGATTTGAGAGATTTGAAATTCATATTTATTATTCATCCAAATTTTCCAAGAGCTTGGATCTCCTAGATCCGAACATGAAATCAAAAACTGGTTTAGAGTTGTTAGTTAGTGCTTTTTGAGGAAGTGTTGACAAGGATTTGAGGCATCGAAATGCATCGAGTGCAAAGATTGGAAGACAGCCTCAAATCTTTTAGTTTGACTTTTTCAATTTTAACTCATAAATTTGATTTATTTTTACTAAATCGAATTTATTCAATTTATAATTAATGTTGTAGATCATCATCATCATCGACATCATTCAAACTTTATCCCAACTATTTGGGGTTGGTTACACAAATCATGTACCACCACTATGCTCTATCAATGCCATACCCTTAGGCAGAATTCGGGATTCATGAAAAGATGTGGCAAAGTTTTAGGTTAGCTTTCCTACCAACAGAACCCTCTTCCTTTGTACGAGCTTGGGACCGACAATGGCGGAGTTAATTCAAAATGTATATACTTTATGTATTTTAAGATTTTTATTTGTTCGATTGCAATTCCCCATTTTCAGTTTTTCTATTTTTTGAAGCCAATTACATCAACTTTATTCTTATTCCATATTTTGTATATTTTTATGAACTTTTTATATTTTCCTGAATTTTTGTATTTTATAATTTTGACTTCTTTTTTTTTTTTTTTTGGCACGTGTTGGACTCAGGCGAGTCAGAGTCGATTCACCCGTGTGACTTTGCTTTGGTAAGTCTCAAGTACCACACACAAGTTCTAATTTAGAACACCAATTTTCTTTGAATAAGTTTTTTTGGAATAAAGGTACCTTTTGTATATATTGAAAAAATTACATAGTACAAATTCCAAAGATGGCATCTCACAAGTTGGGTGCTCTAACTACAAACAACTATATTGACGAAAAGAGAGAGAGAGAGAGAGAGGAAATACGGAGGAGAGACAAACTAAAATTGAGGGCGTACAACCAAAATACGGGACCCGATGCAAGGTGTTACAGGATCCGACTGCATAGAAGGGAAGACTTGAAAGCAAGTGTAGAGACATGAGCGGTCATGAACTTCTATCATGCTTGGGTGAGTGAGATGATGACAAACTGTTGAAATGAATTCCTGGCTACAAGATATGTGGTGAGATCCATAGTCGGAAAAAGCTGGGGGCTCCTATTGTGCAGGGTGAGGGGATACAGTTTGTCGAGCTTTGGGGGAGCTCCTGGCCTAGGAGCCGTCTACAAATTAGGAGAAATTTCAATCCTTAGTAGCATCAACTTGTAGATTTGAAGGACATGGAGCAGAAGAAAGAGGGTAGAGGAGAAAGATAAGGGGAGAAAAAGTAATTGTAGAGGATGAAGAAAGATGAGAGAGGATAGGACAGAAGGGGGAGAGTGGGGGGAAAGAAGAGGGAGGGAGAGTAGAGACTTGAGTATGAGTAAATCAGAGACGAGGCCAGTTAGGTTGAGGTCAGATTATAGGCGAACAGACAGAAAAGAAATCGATCAAGGGCTAAGTTAAGAGAAATTTGAAGGATGGAAAGAGAGAGAGAGAGAGAGAGAAGAGAAGCTGAGCAGGAGAAAAGAGAAAGAAACTCCCCTCCAAATAAATTTTTTTTCCTTCTACTTTTTCCTTTTTTTTCCTCATCCACCTTTTTTCCTTTTTTTCCTTCATTTTTTAATAAGTTGACTATAATTTAAAACACTAATTGGTACAACCATGGCTTGGTAATTACATAACAGCATAATACCTTTTTGAGACCTTCTTTATAGTTAAACCCTTAAACGTGCGTCTCATATGTAATAATGATCTTCTTCTTCTTCTCCCGCTCCTACATCATTTTTGAGACCTAGATCTTAAACTTGCGAACTTATGTGATATATATAAAATGTTGAAGGTCACATTTGGTGCTTTTCTACACCTACTTCACACCAAAAATGCACTGTGACTTTTTGTTTTCACGGCTTCTTGGCTTCTACTCTTGCTTACAAATCATTTTATAATTTCCTCACCATTCACTTTTTATATGTTTTGAAATTTTTCTCACATTTTTCAAAATTTGTTTCTTTTTTCCAATTTTCATTGTATTAGTTTTTCAGAGTTATTAATTAATTTTAAAATTTGACCGATTTGGCCAGTGAATTCCGGTTCAGCTGGTCCAACCAAACCAATGCCTCCACTGGTTCAATGGACTGATCCAATCCTAAGAAAACTGAATAAAATACTTACTATCATGGAAGACAAATATGCATCCCATAGTTACTGGAATCTATTCACCAACCTCGCGTTTTCGGTTCCGAAACCGATTTTGCATTTCCGTTAAGGAATCTTCATGAAAACCGTTTTCCGAACCAAGGAAACTTGATTCCTTAATTTCGGAATCTCGATTCGACACATATTTACAAACCATATTTCGGAAGCAAAGAAACTCGATTCCTTAATTTTGGAATCTCCATTCAACACATCTTTAGAAACCATTTATCGGAACCAAGGAAACCCGATTCCTTAATACTGGAATCTCGATCCAGCACATCTTTAGAACTTGAACCCATTAATTGCAGGTAGACATTCCCAAATATATCGAATCTGGATTCGAACGAGGATTAAATCTTGATTCCGCGTCAATTGGAGTAGAAATCTTCCTTCGAATGCTTCTAATGGTTGCAGGGTTTCATTATTTTACTTGTGCCACCCTGGATGGCCTTTACTTTAAATATAAAATATAATTGGTAAATACAACACATACAATTAAAAGTAAAATCATTACGTAGATATAATCCGATTTTGTCTCTATAATAATGAAGTCAAATAACAATTTAAAAATACTTGTCTTTTGTATATATTGAGCGTAAGTTTAATAGTCCACACAATCACTTTAAAATTTAGGAAACCTTCTAATAAGAGACATCCAATATAGGTTCTAAACTTGATAAGGCTCAAGATGTGATTGTGGCTTCCTTCTCCATAAAAACGAAATCTCGATTCCTGGTAGGGGTCGTCAAACGCATTCCATAGTCCATATGATTGTAAATCTCGATCTCAAACTGGCATGGATCTCTGATCCATATACTTTAGAAACTTGAATCCAAATATGTTAGAATCACGAATTGAAACAACAACATATTTTTGTTCCACATATGTCAAAAACTCGATTCCATAGATGTCGGAAACTTGATTCTGCATATTAATGAATCTTGATCCTGGAGTGTCGATTTTAGGGGGATGGGAATCTCGATTCCAAGGAGGACGGAATCTCGATTCCATATGTGGATGAAACTTAGATCTATTTTGGTTGAAAACGATTCTCAAAAACTAGGAATCTCGTTCCTAGCAATTCTTATTGTATGCACAATGATTCCTAAAACAAGAATCTTCTAACGGGCCACGATTTCGGTTCCTAAAACGATTTGAGTTCTCAGGCATTTCCAACAACTATGATGCATCCACATGTACAGTAAGATAGATGGAAAACGATAAATCAACGAGTGTTCAATTGTTAATAAAGGTAGCATTGAGCACCATGATATTACCTCTCCAACAACTGCTTCATCCTCAATTGGATTCATGGAGCACGTCGAATAGACCAATCTTCCACCAACTTTAAGCACATAAATACCTATAATGGGCAATAGTATATAAGAATATATCAGAAACATATAATGAATGGGAGATATAAGGAATTAAATGGACGACCATCCTCATGAACATCAACTAGTTTCAATGAGGACAGTCACATGACAAACTCTAAATGGCATCAAGATGGCATCAAGATCTCATTCCACTTCTATGTAGCAATAAAAAGCAACACTTACAAACAAAAAGCTTGACCACAAGAAAAAGAGGGAGACAGGTGCAAGGAAGGATTAATATACATTTAGCTTTAAAATGATGATGATGATGATGATGATGATGATGATGATGATGATGATGATGATGATATGATATAATAATAATAATAATAATAATAATAATAATAATAGCTAAATAATTTAGCAATCATAGTGTCAAAACACAAAATTTATGGTACAAATCACATAGTCCATGAGTCTATACATGACCAAATTCTGATATGCTGATTCATCAAAATGAGGCTCCCTGCCAATGGGCCTTTTCTTACAAGTAACAAGAAATCTAAGAAGTTTTAGGCCCTGAACATCATACTGACACATTAAAAGGACTGAGTTTTTAAGGGAACAACACACATTCTCTAGAAGCCAATAATGTTCAATGATTTAACAACGCACCACGCATAGCAATCTGTACTTGAAGGTGATGCAAGCCATTGCCCATTCCCGCATTCCTGAGAATCAGCATGAGTAGTTTAAGAAAGGTAAAAGCTAAGTGAGAAGTGAGGTAAATGACAATGGGAGTATTACCACATCCATTGGAGTATGAGATAAAAAATAGACCAATGGATCATCACAGCCTTTTCAAATAAGTCAGTGATGGAGACTAGAGCTCTCTCTCCATCATTTTGTTGGACGGTTATGACCCAATAGATATGGTTCCAATCATCCATTGGAATATAGCATAATTTTCACTAAGAATATTCACCATTTTCTCCAAATGTCAGGTGCTTTACGAAGTGTGCCATCTCCACTGCATGGAACATCACATAATATGCGGTCAAAAAGAAGCTGATTTTCAACTTGATCTAGTGGCCCTTCAATACCATGTGCTTCTGGTAATATTTGACATGCGCTCCCTAGACCCAGTTGTGAAAAGCACTGTTGATTCACACGGCAACTTGGAAAATGTTGAGCTTCATGGTTTGTTACAATTAAGTTGGCACTACACATTCTTTTCGTTTGATGGATAAGAAGATTGCATCTCTGGATATCAACATCATTTGCTATTACCTGAACCATGAAATATACAAGTAACAATCAGAAGCATAACTTGGATCAAAAGAATACGTAAACTCCAAGCTGAAAGCAGCATCGAATAAATATTGCATGACAAATTAAAGAAAGTATGCTAATCCAATGAACTACAGAGGACTTTGACATAGACACCCCTTGAAGTCATAGATTGTGAAGTAGAGTGAGTAGGGCTCCCCAGAGCAATACATGACCCCAAACAGAGGGTCTCCCTCTTTCAAATAACACCAATACATTCAGTGGACTGTTGATGCCCCAAGGAATTATGGTCCTTCCAAAGACCATTAGATTATAGTATACTTTGCATTCATCAAACAGCAGACAGAAAAAGACCCAAGGCATAAGGAAACAAACAAAAGAAGAGGATTCCACATCACCATTCCCTCAGGTAGTGACCCAGGTTTGTCTGATTGGTGTATCATCTCTAAGAGTTGGAATGTTTTTGAACCTGGAGCTGCACACACTGCATAAAACAGCACATGGATTGAAAAAATAAAACAAATAAGGATCATATGTGCGAGGAATATCATGAGAAACAGATACTCTGTGCATATGAAGATTGAAAGGGAAAACCCCGAGCAGAAACATGATATGCTATCAAATCTAAGAAAAAGTAGTTAATACATAAATTGAGCAGGAGCATATCAATAAAAATTCTAATCAAATGAACAGACTCATATTTTCTCAATATTGGAGCTTCTCATTGTGACCTCACAAGTTTTTGTCAGAAACTTTCCTACAAAAGCTAGGACCTATAGACTAGCATAGAGATGCCATTTAGAAGATATCCAAATCATCTATATAGGCTCACAGCAGTGTTTCAAAAAGTGCCAGGTGGCACCTAGGCAGCCGTGGGGGTCCAGGCCACCCAACGCCTAGGTTGCCCAGAACCTGGGCGGCCCAGTAGAAAGAAAAATGTTAGAATTTTTATGATTTTATCCATAACTATAAACTAAATCTACCAGTATAGCTATATAACACATAATCCATATTTGATATTTCCATGAATGAGGAGAATTTTGATAGTCCATAATCCATATTTTCATACGATGCAAAAACCATACAATTGATACACACAAGAGTTAGATAGTAGAAACTAGAATTTAAAAATAAGAAAAAGAAAATATACAAAAATTATACAGTCTAGGACTCAATGGTCAATAGTCAACAGTCAACACCAAGAGTCAAGTGTCTTCAACTCTTCAGTCTTCAATCATCATCATCATCATCATCATCAGGAGTAGGGTAAGCCTCATCACATGCATTAGATTCGAGGCCACCATCATCACAGTCATCTTCCTCTTCAACATAATGCTTGTCTTCCTCTGTTTCTCTTGAATCTGCCTCTTCCTCCTCTTCTTCTACCTCCCTCTTACTCTGTGTAGATGAGGCCGTAGGGATCTTGGCTGCTCTACCTTTTTCTATCTTCAACATAATGCTCATCCTCCTCTGCTTCTTCTAAATCTGCCTCTTCCTACTCTTCTTCTACCTCTCTCTTACTTTGTGCCGATGAGGCCCTAGGAATCTTGGCTGCTCTACCCTTTTCTATTTTTTTGAGCTTCCCTGAACTCAAATATTGTATAATCTCTTCCCTGGTAGCCTCAGGAACATTTTTACACGAGGCAACTGGCACGGTGTTTTTTGAACCGATAAATACCCCCATTAGTATCATTTCTATAATAATTACATTTAATACGATTTTTGTCATTAGGATTCGGGTTATAACAATACTTCCAACTCGGATCACAATTCCAAAAAAGCATGGAGAAGACATTTCCATAGAACAAGGCTCATTTTCATCCTTTCCTGGTTCTACTAAATTCAAATATCGTCTAATCTCATCCCAAATAGCTTCAAGACCCTTGCAACATTCCCTTTAATACCGGTAAGGTGTTTCTTGAATAGGTTAATACTCCACTAATATCTTTTTCACAAAATTACACCTTATACAATTTTTATCGTTTGGTTTCAGATTATTACTACACTTCCAACCCGGATCACTACTTCTAGCAAAACCAACAATAGATATATCCAAATGACAAGGATTTTGATCCTATTTGTGTTTTACTTAACTCATATATTGGTTAATCTCCTCTCTGATGGCTTCAGGAACATTTTTACAAGGTGCAACATTCCCCTTAATACGAGCAAGATGTTTCTTAAACCGGTTTATGCCCCCTTTTGTATCATTTTCACAATAATTGCATCTTATGCAATTTTCGTCATTCGAATTCAGGTTATATCCATATTTCCAACCCTGATCACCACTTCGACTAGATCCTGAAGAAGACATCTCAAAATAATACAAACAATCTAAAAAATAAAGTTTTGCACTTACTTTGATTGCTCAAACCCCAAACTTCCATCTCTGAGATAGATGTTTTGTGGTGCTAAAATATTCAAAAACACCCTCTAATAGGACTAAAAAAAGTTCAAAACTAAATCTAATCTTGATAGGTGATGTTTTGATCTATTTCCTGTAACTTTGAGAAACACTTCGATCCAATAAAAATCACAAAATATAGTTTTTTTTAGGTTTCTCTCTCTCTAAAATGGGTTCTTGTAGGTTTAGACTTCAAATTAACTTAAAACTCACCTTTAAAAGCACTTTTTCCAAAAGAAACCCCAAAACAATCCTAAAAAAAATCAATTTCCGCCCCTAGGCAGCTGCCCAAGACTAGGCGCCCACCTAGTTAGGTGCCTGACCGCCTAATGACTACCCGCGTACTTTGGCCGCCTAGGCCTGGCCGATGCCCCCAGGCCTTTTGGACCGCCTCAGCACTAAGCGGTCCGCTTTTTGAGTCACTGGCTCACAGACCAAAAGCCCTCCTCAATAACTGAAATCTTGTCAAGTACCGATAACACCATGCCAAACACCAGTACCAGAAAAGATTTTCATGGCGGGACTCCAGTTCCTTCTCCCTTCTTTTTTAAGCCAATGCACATATTTACCACCCAAATGACCTTCGACCCTTTTTCTGGAATTGGTGACTTTGTATTGCTATAAAAGGTAAACACATGGTAGCGAGGGGACCCAACAGATTACTCCAAGCCTTGTGTGAAATCCTACATTCCTCACTTACTATTTCCCATAGTTGATGAGTACAGAAATGGGAATGGTTCTGGGATCGGGATCGGGATCGGGATCGGGATCGGGATCGGGATCGGGATCGGGATCGGGGTCGGGATGGACAGCTCGAAACTATACTAAAGATCCCTGTGTTAGGGATCAATGCCCGTACAGCTTCACAGGTCGGGATTGAGGTCCATGTGCATTGGGGATCGAGCTTCTTTATTACATAGGATTGAGAATTATTATATAAAGATGAAAGATCTTATACGTAAGAAGCGAAGTTCCCAAGGGGGAATTTTTTTAGTTTCTTAACTCAGGAAGCGCATTAGTAAAAGTGATTCAACATATTATGGAGCGATGAATAACTTTTATAGGAGTGCGCTCCATTTTCTTAGAACAAGAGTTCCTCGTGTAGTTTATAACCAGCTTTAAAATGTAGCTCCCGGCATTGTTAACCAACAACATGTAGGCTTAGTATTCTATGAAATAAATAAGGAATTTTAAAGCGATCCCATATTGGTGGGACTTGGATGCCATATATGGAGATGCTTGTGTTATGTTATTTTGGAATCTAGATCCCAATGCACTCCGGAGCGCAAACCATAAGACTAGGGAATTAGATCCTGTAAGGTGCAGCAACACGAAATTAAATTGTAAGGAACTCGTTCCCTCATAAGATGGAGCGAGATTCCGAAAACACTAAATTGAGTTTCAAACGAGATCAGCTTCGGGCTCGAGAGAATCGAGGTTCTGCAAGGGATCGCCAAGCAAGGGAGGCGATCCCGATAACTATGCTATATCCATAGAAGTACAGTACAATATGCAGCATCTCACTCGAGACCAATGGTTAACAGAAAATAAATTAAATCTATCCGTACCACACAAAATTTTTCAATCATGAATCAAGTGTAAAATAGTATCACATATGGTTTTGCGCATTTTCCATTTTCATATAGTATTAAATTTGGATCTTTAAGTTAACAAAAGGCAATCATACTCACTGTCCAGTATGTAATGATCAGACTTTACATCCAAGAAAAGAGGAGGAACCTGAGTAAGAAAGTACACCATGTCAAAGAAAATTATATATAGAGAAAAAGGCAACACAGAATTCACCATAGAGAGAAAGAAGAAGCCCATGGAGACCGACAAGACTTTAAAAAATTAACCATCTTATATTACTACTGAACTTAAAAGCAACTGAAGTCATGTATAGTTAATATTTACCATGCTTACAGCTTCTTGTCTTGTTATATTTCCAATTTCATTCTCCTTCTTCAAGAACTCGTGAATTCTAAATTATCATCAATGTAGAAGGCATCATAGAATCAGGACAATATCATGGTAAAGAAATCCACTAGGATCATCTAAATAAAAGGCCACACACTATCCTGTCAAAGAAAATAGTCATTTAAATTCAAAGCCTAGACCTGCAGCAGAATGGCAATCTCTATAAAGATTGATAACACAATCAACAAAAAAGATGCATGACAATACACTGAAATAATAAATATTTACCATAAATGGATATAAAAAGCATTCTAAAAGATGAGTATACTTTTATATCAACAGTACATAATAAGCTGAGAAAAACTAAAAGAACACCAATCTATATTTTTACCAAAAGATAACTACTCAACATGTTCTTGGTGGCTCAAAAAATTGATCTTGGTTGGATGATCCACTCTCAGGGCTGTCCAATGGCCCATTTCTGCACTTTATCCTACTGAACTTGGCATTTCTGAATACTTTTCTGGGACCAATCTTTGACTCAAGTGTCTCATAACTGAAGGTCTCATTTTATCCAACAAGAATCAAAGCTGCCTCGTTTTCTTGGTCCAAAAGTTAACTTAGTAAAGGACAAAATGTGATACAGATGGGATGCTCTTGAGCATAAAGGATGTTACCCTTCAAATTTATTAGTTTTCTTGGTTTTCTAGCTCAAAAAACTGGGAAACAAGGACTTAAGAGACAGAGACCATACTTTGAACAATCAGGGTTAGCATTCCTACATTTGGGCCCAATGCTAGATGTTCTAAATGTTAAGAGGGGTTTGTCTACCCTCTCCTAACCAAACCTAAACTCCATCCTTTGCACCCACTCACAGTCCCTTTCACAAGAAGTGAATGTATGCAATTGTGAAAAAAGGGCTTAACTTTGCACTCAGATTTTTTCATGTTGGAATCTGCATAAAAGGCAATCATGATGTGTACAACTGGATTGAGACCACATAAATGCTTACCCCAACTATGAGGAAGAATCAAGAGGTAAATTCCTTCAAGGACCAATTAGCAGGTACTTAACGTTTCATTTTGAAGTATATTACAGTTGCATTCAATAGTCATTCAGTATTAACCAGAATCCTAGCCATGCAGAGATTAATATGGTATCTGATTAAACAAACAGGAATGAATGAAACCCACCTCACAGAAATATACACTCCATATCTGGAAAATTAAATAATGAATACAAGCATTTCAATGATAAGGGTGTGTCAGGAATGCAATTCCACCCCAACCATGGTTTGGGGGCATTTTGGCAATAAGTTTGTTTGCAAAAATTTCAAACTAAAACATTAAGTTTGTGGCATGTGGGATGCTCATGTTAAATGAAAGCTCACATTGCAAATTAAGTGCCAAACAACAAATTAAAAAAAAAAAAAAATGCGGGGAGGTCTTACCCTCTGTTTTTTATCTCCAAAAGGAACTCATCTTCAGCCAATACTCAACAGCTAATATCTCAAGAAACCCCCTCCCTCCCTCCATTCCTGGCTACACCAGGAGAGAGAAAAGGAGGAGAGAGAAAAGGAGGAGAGATAAAGAGGGAGGGTAGAGAGGGAGATGAACGAGGTGCAAAAGAGCGATGGAGTTGATGGATGAGTTTGAAACCCTATGTCATGAGCTCTTCATCTCTCAGGTCCCTCCACTCTCTTGTCCATGGTTGCTAGGATCTCCCAACATAGATGGCAATTCTGCCCAGCAATCCGGGAAAAGGATCTTCAAAGGATCCCCATTTTTAAATTTTGGGATCTCGATCCCACTATTAGGGATCCTGATTCCTACTTTTAGGAATGTCAATCCCAACTTTAAATACCAAGATAACAGCCAAACTGATGATTTTCTTAATTTGTAGCCAGCTAGCAATGCAGCTATACTTTTAATACAATTGCTTATTAGCTACAAAGAAAGCAATCCCTACTTTAAAGGATATATATAGTTGTAAGCAAGATCCCCAAAGGGATAGGGATCCCAAAAATATTGTTATCAAGATCCCTAGAAGGTTGGGATTTTGATCCCTAACATTTGGGGGCATAGATCGCAAACATATGCATTGTATGAATGGGGCTCCCAACAATACGGAGCTTCTAGCACTTTACAATCCCCTAGCCCCCAACCCTGATCCCCATCCCGCTCCCACTCTTGCTCAGGCCTGGTTCCGCATCCCAACAATTATGATCTTGCCCCTACTGAAACCCCAGATCTCTGCAATAGCCTCTGTGTATCCCAATGGTCAAGCTCCTGCTCACCTTCTATCACTCTGACCCCTCTGTAAACCCCTTAACAGATGGCAATTCAAACTCTCTCTCCTCTCTTGCCCAAAATACCCAAGGTCATCATTCTAGCAGAACAAAACCTTCAACTAGAGAATGCAAGGACCTTAATAAGAGGAAAGGAGAGGATCATGTGGCCTCCGCACCTCTTTGTATCTATGACCTCTCTCCTCTTAAGAAGCAATTTGCAAGTCCATTTCTTTTTCAAGGCCAGCTGATCTTGTGATAGAGGATCCCGCTTCTCTTCAAGGTTGTTAACTAGATAATATCGCAATCATACTTTGCAAATCCTTTGAACCGAATGAAATCCCTCCTATTGGGTAAAAGAAAATCCCCAAATTCCTACGCTGATAAAGAGGGTCATTCAGCAAAACCCTAATTTTCCGAAAAGGGAATGAACGAACTGGAAAAAGAGTTCTATAAACCCCTAGTTTCGCCATTTTGATCAAGTATCCAAAGGCTTTGATAGCAGGAAACATATTTTTAATGGAACTTCCAGCTATATTAGTACGGGACCTAGTGAAGCTCCAAGGTGAAACTCAAAGAGACCTAAACGTAGTTGTTCTTAGCCATGGCAAAATGCTACTTCATTTTCTTTCAAAAGCTTTCTTTATAGTTGCTTTTTTTTTTGTTTTTAATTAAATTTCGTCTATGGGCTTCTGATTTCTTGTCTTTTTTATGATACTTTGATGATATTTGTGCTTAGGTAATTTTTTGTTGGTTCTTTTTAATTCCACTGAGGAAATTATGAGCATGTATTTGTGTTTATTTGGGGCCTTTATATGCCTGGCAGATTGCTTGTTTCAGGTTCTCTCTATCAATGCCTGCCAGATAATCGCTTTCTAACAAAAAAATGATAATGAGGTCTCACATAAGAGGTATAACGAGTGGAAAAGTGAGGTTTTTCATAAACTTGATGACATTGAATGGACTTCAAAAAGTGTGCAAGTTTAGCATAAGTGTTCCAATTCATGTTTCTGATGACTCAAGGTTTGAAAAGGCAAGGTACTGAGGCAAGGAAATGGACAATTGGCCTCTTTTGTACTTGTTCTCTGCAAGCCCAGGGCAAGCAAATGGAAAAACTGAGTGGTGTTTAGATTTCTCAGAGACACCAATTTTCTCCCTTTTTATTGACTCAGAGATACCATCTCGCTTCTCTCAAGTTCTTGTGTGAGTGGGTTTTAGATTTCTTTTACCAGAGGATTTCGGTGGGTTTTGGTTTAGGGCTCGCCATTAGGCAAAAGGAAAAATGGCACCAACATAAACCAATTTACAAATTAATTTTAATGCAGTTTAGGAAAACCCAACAGATAGCCATATGCATTTAAAAAAGAAAAAAGCAAATTCATTTTCATTTGCAACAAGGGGTAAGCCCTCTTGACCTCATGCAACAAAATTCAATGTGGACTTATTCAGATGTGTCAAAAAACCCAGATGTACACAGAATCTTTAAGAAGGGCAAGAGAGTTCCGAATTGTGCTTCTATTTATAAAATAAATCCATGGAAAAGATAGCACACATACCTCTCAAGGGTCTGATTTTTCCTTAACTGCATACGAGAAAAATTAAGTTGCCAAGCCAGGTTCTCTGGATACCAAGGTAAAGGTCTAATAGCCTCTTCTGCATTATCATCCATAATCTGTAAACATGACAAAGACAAGTACTATTAGATAACACGTTCATTGACAGAAGAGGGGATACAGTACAAATTGATATACCTCAGTATCAAGGGACTTCATGATGTCATTCTCCAGCTGATAGCGGATGTCTCGGAAAAATTGACCACTGTCAGATGGAACAGAGTAGATAGTTATATATTCTTTGTATTACGGTCACAAAGATCCACAAATGCTTTTCACAAGAAAAGAATAGCAAGTGAACAGAGAAAAGGTAAACAATAAAACACTGCCACAAGAAATTGTGTTTGACACAGAAAGGGGCTCAAAGCATAAGTAGTCAGGGTGGCTGATTGCCACAACAAGACATCTACAGTTATATTCCTATCAGGTCCTGAGTTAACATGAAAAGATAGTGCAGAGATAGTGCACTATAAGTATCTGACACAAATTATAACAACAAAGATAGTGCAGAGAGGAATCAATAATGGAAAATAAAGTAATAAACAAAAAACCTAAAAAATAGTAAGATTGGCTACAAAGTCGGGTACATTTAAGAATATACCAGCTATAGTAGCTAATAGAAAGAAAGGAAACCTATAAAACATAAAGAAATGAAATGGCATTTCGAATGCCCACGGAGGGTCTGCAGAGACACATTACAGCTAAATGCCCATCAAATAAGGCATTTTCTTCCATCAGTTCATCAGTGTGTGCATGTCTTTAAAAAATATTACCATAAAATGGGTAAAAATCAAGAACACAGGTGGATAGAATTTCAATCCATGTACGTAAGTACATATATGTATGTATATGATGCAAGACTCTTAACTCTAGTAGGTCACCGGACAAAAAAATAATCACTAGACATGGTTGCTCAATATCCTTCATTATCTTTTGGTTATTAACAATACACGTGACAAAGGGACACCTCAAGATGTATACAGCATTCAAAGGGGAACCATTTCATCATCATGTAACATCTTTCTTCTTTTTTTTCATTTGGTAGTTAATCATTTTGTATGATGTAAAAAATGGAGATATTAGGAGAAATTAAAATGCATTTTAGTCCCCATGACATATCCAATAAAAAAGAGAAAATAAAATGGAAACAAAACAATTTTTATCATGAATAAGTGAAGCCCTCCACAATGGAATTTGCATCCTCTGCACCGTGATAATAATCAAATTTGTAATCGCAACATCAAACTCTTAGCCCAAGGCTTAGAGCTAAGCATATAGTACAGAACAAGACCAGCAGGACGCATTACCTTGAGTTGATTCTAAATGCAGCTGGCAATGGTTTTCGAAGCATGCTCATGAATTCTTCCCATTCTCCTTCAGGCACTATCTTCTGCTCCTGTTATAAGTAAAGTTATACCGTGTTAGATGCTAGTTCCAAAATCAACAAGATCAATGTTAAAAAAATTGCCTGCCTAAGCACTTGGGTGGCAAGCAGGCCTCAGCGTTCCGCCCTAGGGCTATGCAGCCCTGTGAGAGTGTACAGAAACCAATGATCTTGACTTGGACTACAAAGTAGTTAAAAACCATGCCGATACACCTTGAAATTTTATTACAGCTCAAAAATTCAAATTACAACAAGGTCACTGCAACTACAGTGAGCTATTGACATCCAAATACATTCAAATAAGAGGATACAACTCTATTAAGGTCCCTTGCATATGAAAGAAACAAGTTACAAAGGGAAACCATCAAACTACAGATGTATAATGCGCTTTTGAAAGTTTAGCACCACTCAAACTTACAAATAAAAATTATACACCAATGGACTTCATAAAACTCATCACAACAACATACATATGCTTAAGTGCGTAATGCAGCATGACCATGGAAAGCCAATCAGAGCTCTCGAGTACCCCATTTACGGCCTTGGGTCTTAACTATGTGTCATTGGATGACATGCGATAGCATATCTCAAAATCGGACCAATTTATCATCTGACAAAGCGGGAAGCCAAGCATCTACTGATACACATTAAAACATGGAAGGTTTTGTAGAGATCTAAAAGTTCAAATCAAGTGATAAAACCGTGAGAGAAAACCAGGCTCTTAAAACACAAAACCAGTTCGATTGAGTTCACAATTTGGCTCACAAAATTTCGGCAAAATTTCGACATAGTCTCTTCTTATAAAATCAACAATTCAAAAGATCAAGAAGAAGGTTTAGTGACTGATAAGATCACAAAAATCTCAAGGAAATATCAGCTAAAAATACTTCAAAATTGAAGGAAGAAAGCTCAATGAAAACTATGTCAAAATGTGCATGGTTGAAGCCTTCAACTATATGGATCAAGAGGGATCACATTCACGGGATTGAAGATCTAATCAAAGGATGAAGAAATGTAGCTGTAAATGAGAATTTACAGCAAAGAGAATCTAAGGAATCAATGGAAATAGAAATGATCTTACTCAATTGTTGAAGGCTTGAAGACTAAATCATCCATGACTTGAATTTGCGCTTTGGGTCACCATTAATGGAGTGGTATGAGTGAGACCTTCACTGAAGTTTTTCTCTCACCTTAACATGAAGGAGGATCTTAGAGAGAGAAACGAAGAAGAACACTAGCTTGGAAATGCCACTCTATGGGAGAAGAGAGAGAGGTGCATGCCACTTTTGGAGGAAAATTGGTGAAGTGAACTCATATGTGAGAAAATAAAGCTCAACCGGGTTTTATAACTTTTTAACCCTCAAGCGTGGAGATGCTTCTAGATGGATTAATCTTGGCCCTCTATGTCATCTACCCATGAACTTAAGCCACTATCCACCATCATGTCATCAAGATGTGTGGTCAGGATTTAAACACCTTTATCCTCCCTTTAATTCACTTCAATTTCCATTGTTATCAAAATACCTATGCTCTCTACATTTAATAAAGCTAAAACCAAGATGGACGGTATACCCTTACGGTAATTTATCAAATTTCCAGCAAAAAGCAAATCTCAAAAGTTCCCTCTCTTTCATAAGAGCATGTGGGGCTAATGGATTCGTGCCACATAAGCTAAGTGGTTAATTCCACATTTACCATATACCCTTAGGGTTAGGCTTGTAATTACAAAACCTATACCCCTTTAGAATCCTCCACACCTATGCACAAACCTCTTGCTTTAAGCATTAAATACGTGCCAAAGTAAATATTTCAAAAACTCAATATTTTATAAAATATCTTAATTTGACACACTTCAATTAAATGAACAAACCAACGAAGGAATTGGGATCCCTAGGTGGGGTGGACGTCACCCCCACATCATCTCCAAGTGGGGGGGAAGTGGGACCCCCCAAGCCAACATGTGGACACCCATTAGCCATTTGGTGTCCCATGTGGGTCCCAGGGGACTGCTTTTGTTTGTCATTTCTTTCAAACAATTCTAAAAAAGGATTTTCTTGCCGAGAAAAAACTATAAAATTCTCATAAATCCATAAAAATCATTTTAATGATTTTCCATCAAACGAAATCATTTTGGTATTGATTAAAAACATTTACAAAGGAGATTAGGATCCTTTGACTTGAATTATGAAACCGAACACTCCACTCAGCTCGACCCAAAATCCAAAGCCACCTTCTTAATATAACCCAATAGACCCATGACCCACAGCGTACAATCAGGGGTTTATGATCTCAGCCTATCAGAGTCAAACTGATGTGCGACTCTGAATCCCCAAGTATAACTAGATTTCAAGTGCACCCCTTAGAGGACATGCACACACATGATGTCGGGGTTCCTCTCTTGGCACATTACAGAGCACTAACCAGTGGATCCCTGGAAGAGTGGTTTCCCATGCATTGCTATTGTATATGTACATGTTACGAGAAGGTTATAAGAGTCAAATATTTAGGCCAATGCCCTCTATTAACCCTAAACTTCATGTACCGTGCTTTTTTTATCAAGCTCATACATATATCGTATTGCCCTAGCCCATCACTCAATCATGAGGCACAAACATAACAACCGACTCTAACTAAGATTTAACCCTTGGCTCCCATATATAAATCCTCCTCATGACTTAATCTAGATTCCATACTCTTGGTCTACGTGCGTCAAGATCCTAGTCATATCACTCTTTTACTCCCACTGAAGCCAAGAGTGGGTAACTCGCCCACCCAAGATGCCAACACCTTGGGCATGGCAGTAAGCTAGGGTAGGTAACTCGCCCACCCAGCCACCTGGGCATGCACCCAGCTCCAAGCCCAGGAGCTCGCCCCAAGCCCTTTTGGCGGGCCGAGAATAGGCTGCGCCAAAAAGGGCTTTTAAGTTAAAATAAAAATTGACAAGAGCCCAAAAGGACTTTTTAGTAACTTCCCCCTTGAAAAGGGGGGATATAGGTTATCGGGGGTTGTTGACTTCCAAAACCCTAGTGAGAGAGATTTTCTTCCCAAAAACACCTTTTTTATCTTGAATTGAAATTTTTTTGAAAATTGACTTAAAACTCAAATTTTCAATTTTTTGTGAAATTGAAAGGCATCGACAAGGGTCTTTTTGGAGGCCAAAAAGGTTTCAAAACAGAGGTTTTGGCCTCCAAAGTAAATGATTGAAGCCTACTTCGATTGGGTTTTAAAAGGTCTATAAATTTAAATGTTTATGTTTAGGAATTCATTTTTTTATGAGTATTGTATTAAGTTTTTTTTTAAGTAATTTTCTTGTGTCTATATTTGAATTTTCGCATCACATTTATGGTGAAACTTCTTGAGTTTTTTTTTTTTTTTTTCAGGATTTGCTCGCTACTTTTGTGATTATAACATGTTTAGGTCTGTTCGGCTATGTTTCTACATCATAGTGTAAAATAAAAATTCTATAATATATTGTGTGGATATGTTTGGCTTTGTGTCTAGCTTTTAAGGCAAGATTAAAAAAATTATAATGTACTTTTTTCTATGTTTGGATTTATTTCCATTGTATGATGCAAATTTATTTATAATATATTTTTACTCTATACTTTTTGGTTATGTTTTGGTTATGCTTATAATTTATAAGACAAACTCGAATATTCATGATATATGTTTATGTATTGTTTTTCTTTTATTTATAATTTATAATGCAAGAATATAAAATATTACTATATGTTCGCATTTTTTTTGCTATATTTTCAATTTGTAATAATAAATTTGACAATATTACTCATACTAAATGTAATATATTTGGCTATGTTTTCAATATGTAAACTGAAAACTCATTTCTCATACTAAATTATGTTGGCTAAGTTTGACTAAATTGAGCATTTCTATACTTTAGGTTATCTTGAGTGCTGACTCTTGAGTTGTCAGTTGTCAAATACTCATATTCACGGAATCACAATGTCTTCTTATGGTTCTACTTGAAAACAAATTCATCCGGGGTGCAAGCATAGGACATACCCAAATCCATTAGAAAAACAAAATATCCAATTGGGCCCCTTTTAGTTTAAAATCATGTGCTCATGTTTGAATGTTGGAAATTCGGATTTTGGAACTCTACAATGTGTTGGTTTTTTTTTTGGAAGGGGAACGTGATGAAATTGAACACTTGAGCGTTTAAACTTTCATGTTTGAAGTAATGTTTGAAATGCTTATGGATGTACATTTATGTCAAAGTTTAGGGCAATTTTACAGTTTAAAGTTATGTGCCTTTGTATTTTTGCTTAATGAATGTCAAAATTTGGCAATTTTACAGTTTTATATTTTTAAACATGTAAATTTTAGTTTATAAGCAATTAGATTCCATAATTGACAACCCCACATCCCACACATGTCACCCCACGCCACCCCCCACCCCTAACAAGTCCCCTACATAGTGGCTCACCTGTGCTGGGTGGCTGCCTAGGCGGCCGTTTCCGTCTTCTTGAACATTGAACAAGATTTTGAAACTGGAATAGTTCAAGATAGATTTTCTCTTCCTTTTTTTGAGAGATAGCTCATGAAAGAATGCTTACCATAATATAAAAATGGGGAACATAAAAGGACAAACTCAAATAAATTGCAAGGATTATTCGAATGTGACATTACTACTTGTTCAAACATTCCACTTTGTATCTTAGATTTCATCAGTTCTCCATAATACAAAAATGGGGCACATAAAAGGACAAACTCAAATAAATTGCAAGGATTATTCGAATGTGACATTACTACTTGTTCAAACATTCCACTTTGTATCTTAGCTTTCATCAGTTCTCCTTTGAGATGGTCATGTCCACATGTGAGGAAGATGACTCCACCTGTATGGTCTGTGGCAAACAAAGACCAGTTTTACAGTAAACTTGCTCAGCGGGTCAAAGGCGTTGGTGAAATCATGTTTAAAGAGGAGTAAAATCTGATACTGGGATATAAAAAAAATGAAAGGGTAGACATTGTCATTAGAATAAAGGACTTCTAGATGGCCTAAGAGGTGTTGTAGATAATGAGGCGTGGGTAGTTGCAGAGATGGATAGATTACAAACCATAGTTCTGCCCAGTAGAAGTAGTTTCAGAACGAAATCATTATTCTAGCAAAAATATCACAAATGAAGAAAAATTATACCTATGACTAGCAGGGAGTTACATCAAACCATAACTTATATTCAACTATTTAGGGAGTGCAGAGACTAACTTCTATGCAACTATCTAGGGAGTGCAGAGACTCAGTATAGTAAATAAATGACGGATGAAAGCTCTGAAAATTATGGGAATTCAGTGATAAGATAAAGGATCTCATCACTTTTTTGTAAAATACTTCTGGAATATGGGGTTCTCATGATGGAATGGAGTGTTAATTAAGAAAGATGGGATGTTCATTCTTAGTCTAAGATTGATCTTGTTAAATTGCAGCCTTTGTTGTTCAACCTAGATTAGAATACTTCTTTTTCCTTTTTCTTCCTTCATCATCATGTTCAAGGCACTCTCATCACCACAAAAAACAACTCAAATGGATCACACAATGTTACAGCAATATTGTGCCCTCAAAAGAGACACTACCAATGTTCCAACATGTGGAGCATCTCTTGTCGGTTGAGCATCTCTTGTCAGTGGAGTATCTCTTGTCGGTTGAACATGGACTCTCACATCCATGTAATCATTCTCCCCAGCAATACAATGTTAACTTTCTCTCAAACAAAAAAACAAAGAAATTAAGTTTCACTTGCACCAAACTAAAAATCTCAGAAATCATATCAAATTAGTACCACTAAATGCTGTAGTTCTCACCATCAATACACTCAAAAACTTCAAAATTTATCGTCAAATCATTTCCAAGTTTGTTGTACATGTGCCACTTCCAATGGGTAGAAACATCATTACCAAGAATTTTAAAAATTGCAATCAAATAATTCCGGAAATGTTTTGTACACGTAGGGAACATTTGATTTCTGGAGGCAGCAGCTGTGGAAGCTGCTGTCTCAAGAAACTATAGCACGTCCTGTGTTTGATTACGGGAATTGCTATGCAATTTTGGAGGTTGCCGCTTCCCGGCTTACAGAATAGCACTAAAAAGTGGAAGGGGCATCTTCCATGCCCCCCATGGAAGCAGCCACTCCCCATGCCAAAGCCGTATCCTACCAATATCAAACCCTCCCATAGCAATTCCAATGGTCTTGCAGCCCTTATTACTCTTACGAAAGCTGATGCCTAATTAAGAAACTTACTTTAATGTCATTTTCATGGTTGCTTGTTTAATATGCCTCACAATCATAAAAGTGCAAACAAGTTGAAAACCCACACCAGCTACAAGTTACTTATTTTCTTTTATAAGTAACAATTTACTCAAAATCAAATTTATAATACACTCTATAAGGATCCAACACAAATACTAGGGACGACCATGAAGTTTCCATTATGTATTTTCTGGGAACGTATGAGACTCATTATTCACATCATTTAGCATTTCTTGGTTATTGCCGATGTCTGGCATTTCGGCCACAAGTGGTCAGACATAACATCTACCAAGCCCTTCCCAAGCTCTAAAAGACCTCCCTAATATCAATCTTCAAAAAATAGTGGAAGAAGCACAATAGGGCACTTTTTAACGTACGAGAATCATTGGTGATGCAACTGTAAAGAAACTCCGGTCCTCCATATCCTGGCCGCTTGTCAAGGAAGAGTTTAACAATATCAAAGTTTATGAGTTTCGTATGGTCACTGTGGCAAACTATCAAGAGCAAACTGGAAGCTTCGGGGTGCAATCCTCCATTGTGGATAATTCATATACACTTTGGCAGGAGCTTACTCAAAAACCCTAACAAGTCTAGAGAGTGAGGGGTCATGAGAAACAGTGACAGCTTGGTCATGATGGCAGATATGAGGGGTTTAGAGCAGCATGACACGAGTATGACAAAAGTGGGATAGCCGCTTGCCATTTTATATATTCATTCATCACACCTTTTTGGGCCTTCCATGGCGAACAAAAGCATTTTATCTCATAGTGAAAGAAATTATGCATCAGGGTAGTGGATCTGAATATAAGAATCTCTCTTATCATCTCATGATCTTAATCACTGAATTCTGAATAAGTACTTCTTCTACTCCATAAATCATGGCTCAATGAAAATGCTTTAACCTGCTTAGCCTTGTTCATATGATTGGCTGAAATTGGAATGATTCTTTATAACATTACTACCCACTAAAAGTTATTTTCTTGATAATGATATCATGTTTACCAGCACCACAAATGTTCGAATAACTTTTCAATCCACAGGATAGAGAGAGCAATGGGGCCGTCCAAGAAAAACAAATTTTCCAAAGCACTCCTCAATAATGAACTTTATCAAAATAACAATAATTGCATAACTAGTTCAAAAATAGATTGGTACCCAATTGAGACATAAAGCAGGTTCTAAATTGAAATGAGGCTGCTTTCAGTGCACGAACTTGCAGAACTTGAATATCGTGGGCCACTCTAAGCTTAAATTTTCAGATGAATTTCTATTGCAAAGAACGAAAGTAAAGCAATAAAAAGATGAAAAAGGGCCCAAACAAAAAAACCTGCTATGAAATGCTTGCCTTCTAAAAGAGGAGTGTGAATTTTAACGAAGTTGCAGCCATCAATTAAAATGGCAGTCATTTTCAATTTTTCATATTTCCCCATTATTAACTATATCAAATAATTTAAGACACATATCATCTTTACATAACCATTGAAACCAAGGTTTCTGTACAAATACACAGTTACACACCTTAGCAGCTAGTAGAAAGCAGATAAAATTTGAGAAATAGTATCTTCTGTGATCCATTCTATTGATCTTTAGAAAGAAAAAAATAAAAATAAAAATAAAAAATACATACTGAGCAAAAAGAAGAACAGTTGGAGGTACCATATTTCGAAACAGCAGCAGGTAGAGGCAAAACCAACACCTTGAGCTACTTATTTACCCCCAGAAAAGAAAAGAAAGTAAACATATGCCGTGATGGAAATGTAGAAAGAGAAAGACCTTGTAATAGTCTTCAAAGGCAGGGTTTTGGGTGGCAAAGGGTTCCCAAGAAGGGTTGTCATCTGGTCTGCGGTTCCTCTCCCATACGTTTTCCCTTTTGTGCTTGAACTGCCTTCGGTGCGTGCGCCCACGCTTCTGTCCACCTCTCCCTCCACCCATCCCGTTTCAATGGCACCCAGAGAGAGAGACAGAGGTTCTGCTCTTGCTGGGGAGTTTGTCGGGTCTTTAAGCTTGAAGTTCGCGGAGAACGAAGTAAATATGAAATCGCATGTGTTACGTCTATTCCGATTGCACACCTGAGAGAGAGCAATTGCTCGGCGCTTAGTTTTGAAAGAATGCAATTTCTATAAGGCCGGGGCTTTATAGAAACAAAGTAAACCTTCACCTAGACTCCTCGTCCGGAAAACATTAGGGCATCGAAAATCTATATGACGGCCCCGAAAATTAGTTTTCCATCCTCGTAATAAAATTTGAGGTTCAAAAAATATGCAGATCTTATGTATTCGTGATCATTTATTTTTAGGGCAAAATAGACCGTCTTTGAAAATGTGTTATGTACAGTATTTTTAGGGTTTATATTTTTTATTTTATTTTTTTACAATCATAATAGTCAAAGTCGAAATGATCAATTTGAAGGTTTTAACATAATAAAACTATAATTTTTTATGAGTTTTGAAGTAAGGTTTTACTTATTTTGATAAAATAGTAGCCCTATCAAAATATTAAAATACTATATGTCATTCTTTAGTTATATTAGTTCTTCTTAAAGCCACCTAACCGACCCATAGTTAGCAAGTCAGGGACTTTCAATAAATCGGCTTACCTTAAAATCGGGAAAAAATCGTTTTTATTTTAAAAGGTCGGATGAAAAAATCGGATAAAAAATACGGAACAGAAAAAATACTTCATGTAAAGATATCACCAATATATCGGACTGGGCTAAATAATCGAAGTCAAAAAATCGAATAAGTTCAAATGTTAGAAATTTTGAAATTCTAAAAAATAAAAATTATGTCAAAGCCATCAATAACTAATCCATTCATTAAAACTTTACTAGACTGATATAATTAAGTCAATTAATTTAACTAGAAATATTCAAAATTAAGCATAAGGCAGGGTAAAGTCAAAAGAAAAGTTAAGAGTTTGGGAAGGTGTAATCCCCAAGTCATGTAGCCATGCATCATTATCATCATCATCATCTGGAAAGGTGTCGTCATGTTCCACCTCTTCGAAACCTCTTCCAGCAATAAACCAAGTTGTTCTAGATTAATTGCATTACAATCTCGAATGTCATTTTCACATGATGCAATCATCATCTTCGAGTTCACTCTTATGTAAACCAAGTCGGTTAACATAGTTGGTGTCAATCTATTCCTTTTTTTGGTTTGAGTCGCCTAAAAAACACTCCAATTACTTTTGTACGCTGATGAGCTGCATGGTTGGCTCAAAATCCGAATGCCAACCATTCGAACTAATGGAATGCTTTCTCCGTATACTTCCCACCAAACTCCTACATAATAGGAATTTTTTAGCCACATACTCAAGATACAATTAAGAGTAAGATAAAATTTATTTTTCTAAAATAATAATAATAATACAATAAGATACAAAAAATTGATAATCAAGAAGATACTTACGAGGATGAGTTGTTGATAATAATCCCAATGCAACACCATCAAATATATTTGAATCCCGTGTATGGTACTTCAACAACTCTGAAAAGAATACAGTTTTTTGTTCTGCCTCGATCATTGAATTTGAAATCAAGGTAAAATTAGCTTTCACTTCAGGATTATCAAGTTTAACATACCCACTATATATTAAAGTTGGATTAAGAAATGAGGTAGCGACATGAATGGGGTGAATTATATTTTCATTTCGCCTATTTTATAATATCTTCACCAATTCAAGATACCTAGATTCATTGTCATTACAATTTATCTTTAGTGCTCCCCTTGCCCTTTCCATTGTTTCATATAAATATCTTATGGTTTACCCCTCACCATCACCCAAACGAAGCACCTTGATAAGATGCGCTATGTAGTGATTGCATGCGTCGCATCATTCCAAAATTGGGAGCTTTAATTGTCAGCCACAAGATGAACAATATTTTATGGTCCTAACTTCTCAATGATTTGAACAAGAATCTTTCTAATAAATAATCCAGTTATGCTATACTCGGATACCTCAAATGCATTTATAAAAACTAATCCCTTTGGACAAGATGCAGCAACATTAAGGAATGACCGGTTTTTCATATCTGACCAAAGATCTGACATTAAAGTACATCCTGATTGAACCCATGACTTTTTTATTGAAGCTACATATGCATCGACATCTGTCTTAAGTTCTTGTACCAATTTAGTGCTAACATATGAATAACTTGGTAATGTGTAGCTAGGACAAAAATTGATACATGTATTTATCATATTGACAAATGATTGGGTATTGATAATGAACTGACAGTAGATGTACCTAAGTTTATCAAACATTGATCAACATTTTGAACATATGATGTAATTTTGTTCTTCTTCTTTGGAGGCTTAGAAGATACCTCGTGTGTCGCAAAAACGGCTATAGCTTGTACATCATCTGGTACTTGAGGACAAGCTTTTATATCATTCTCTTGTTCTCTTGACAAGTGATATTTGAATCTTGTTATTCTGGCAGAAAATCCTTCACTGCAAAAATTATAATACAATTTATGTCCTTTTTCTTCACAATAATTCCAAAATGGATCTTTTGACCTAACCATTGTATCTTCTTTCCTGTTTTCAATAAAAAATAATAATAAATAAGTATACACACGTTAGGCGTTCATGCTCGTTATAAAAAAAAAAAAAAAAAAGTTCATGATAAATACACCATATGAAAATCTGCATTAAATGTTTTAACAAACATCACACTACTTAGTACATACCAAAAAAAAAAAACACGATACAAATTTTCACATTAAATAATTCAACAAAGATCACACCTACTTAAAAAAAACCCAAAAAAAGTACACCACATAAATTTTTACATTAAATACTTCAACAAATGTCAAATCTACTTAAATATCAACATACCAAAAAAAAAGCACAATGTTTTTTTACAAATATCAAATCTACTTAAATATCAACATACCCAACATACACCATATAAATTTTCACTTTCAATACTTCAACAAATATCAAATATACTTAAATATCAACATACCCAAAAAAAAAAGGTATAATTAAATATCAACAAATATCAAATCTACTTAAATATCAACATACCCAAAATCTACTTAAAATGCTTTAGCAAATATCAACATACCCAAAAAAAAGGCACAATTTTTCTTTTTTCCATTAAATGCTTTAACTATGGTTTAGTCATTTTATAACTATGGTTAAAAATAAGGTTTTATACTTTATATTCTTGTTTTCATTGAAAACAAATATCACTGAAAATAAGGAGACGCCTGAAGACTATGGGTAATATCTGCTTCCTTCAAAACATGGAGAGGCCTGGAGCTGAAAGGGAGGGAAGGATGGGATGGAGTTGAAAGGGAGAGCATGGGTAATCGCTGCTTCATTGAGAACAGAGAGAGGCCTGGAGCTGAATAGCTGCTCCATTAAAAGCAGGGAGATGCCTAGAGCTGAATGGGGAAGATGGGCTGGAGCTGAAAAGATTAGAAAATGAAAGGGGATTTCTATGTTAGAGAGAGAGGGGGTTTCTATGTTAGAGAGAGAAATTGAAAGGGGGTTTTCTGTTAGAGAGAGAAAGAAATAGAAATTGAAAGGGAGTTTTCCGTTAGAGAGAGAAAAAGAAATAGAAATTGAAAGGGGGTTTTCTCTGTGAGAGAAATTGGAACGGGGTTTTCCGTTAGAGAGAGAAAATGAAATGCGGTTCTTAAGGTTTTTCTCTGTAATTGCAGGAGCAAGAAGATGAAGTTTTTTTTCTGAAATTTGCAGGAGCATGAAGATTATGAAATTTGCAGGAGCAAGAAGATGGAGTTTTTTTCTGAAATTTGCAAGAGCATGACGATTATGAAATTTGCAGGAGCATGAAATTAGGTTTGCTGATTTTAAGATTTTTTTTTGTTGCCGTAAATATTGAAGGTTTAATCTGATTATATATATATATTAATGTATATTTCTGTAATTTGTAGGAGTAAAAAAATTTAATGTATGCATATATTATTCATCCAGAAATCTGGTTTTTGGATCGATATGGTTTTCTTTACTCTGCATCTATATTATTTCTATACACAATAATTTCCTCTATAAATTTACAAGCAAACAATATTTCATTTGCAAAATAACTACTGAGCATTGACATGTTTAAGTTAAAAAGAAAAAAAAAAAACTCATACCTTCAATCTATAAATGAGGTTTTGAAGAAGAAGAACGTGATTTTGGCATATACCCTAGGACAATAAACCCTAACAATACATAAATCATTTGGGAATAAAAATTTCCATTTTAGGATTTTTTTTTTTGGAAATAATATGTTTTTTTTTAAATTACACATATTAGGAAAAATTTTGTTTCTCTTTTAAAAAAAACGCCAGTAAAAATATGTTTTTTTAAGCCCGTTTAATTCGTTCTCCAAAAAAACACGTTTTTAACGTTATTAGGAAAAAAAAAACGTGTTTCTTTAACAAACTTTTCAAAAAAAACGCCGTTTTTAACGTTTTTTTTAAAAATTCTGATTTCTTGAAAAAAAAGGCGATTAATAGCCGATTTGCTAACTATGAACCGACCTAGTCGTTCTCTATCGATCAGGACTTGCAATCGGGGACCAGGTGATATGCCTTTATATGCATCCGGTAGCCTTAATGGCACTCGGACTTCCAAGTTCGGTTGGACTGTGGGTCCGCGGTGAACCTCCTTCCTTTAAATAGATGTAAAGCATGCTGGGACACAATGATCTCAAACCCATTCAAGGCTTTAACCAAGATGGCGAGGTGGATGACCTGAGGACTCAGCCCCTAATTAAATGTTATAGGCTTGGACACCTCTTATAACATGCTGTTGGCAACTCTCTAGTTGCATGATTGTGGCGTAGTTCTGTTACAATGCTCAAGGATGTGCAAAACATACAGCAAAAGACTGTTTGCGCAGACAAGAAGCCCTTTGCGCAAGTCACATGCAGCCGTTGCTAAATTCTATCTCATCCGTGATCTAGAAAATCCTAAAAATATAAAAAATTAGAAATTAAAAATTTAGGGGCTTATATATATATATATATATATATATATAGGAAAGATAGAATTATTACTATTAGTCTTAT